TTCTGCTGTTGATACTTGTGATTGCATTGAAAAGTTGTCATATTATGTTTTTCAGCTCTGTCAGGTGGGTTATATTCTCCTCTAAATTGGCTATTCTGGTTATCAGCTCCTATATTGTTTTATCATGATTCTTAGCCTCTTTGCATTGAATTACAATGTGCTCCTTTAGCTCAGTGAAGTTTGTTATTACTCACCTTCTGAAGTCTACTTCTGTCAATTCAGCCAAGAGGCTGAGAATCATGATAATACAGGGGCTGATAACCATAATAGCCAGTTTAGGGAGGAATATAACCTCAGCCCAGTTCTATGCCCTTGCTCTAGAGGTGTTGCATTTATTTGAAGGAATAGAGGCACTATGGCCTTTTGCTTTTTCAGCATTTTTGTGTTGATTCTTTCTCATTTGTGGGCTTATCTATCTTCAATCTTTGAGGTTGCTGACCTTTGAATGAGTTTTTTATGGGGTATTTTCTGTTGATGTTGTTGTTTTCTGTTTCTTTTTCTTTTAAAAGTCAGGCCACTCTCCTATAAGGCTGCTGTGGTTTGCTGGGGGTCTGCTTCAGACCCTACTTGCATCAGTTTTTTTTTTTCTCATACCTGAATGTATCACCAGTAAAGGCCGTGAAACAGCAAAGATGTCAGCCTGCTCCTCCCTCTGGAAGCTCCATCCCAGTGGGGTACTGACCTGTTTCTGGCCCAAACACACCTAAAGGAGGTGTCTCGAGACCTGTTGGGAATTCTCACCCAGTCAGGAGGAGTGGGATCAGGGACCAACTTAAAGAAGCAGCCTGGCTGCTTTTTGGTAGAGAAGGTGTGTTGCACTGGAGGGAACACACTCTTGTCCAGAAAATCCTCTCCAAAGTCAGCAGACTGGAGTGGCCGAATCAACTGTACCACAGAGATGACAGCCACCTCTCCCCCTGGGAGCTCCATCCCAGGGAAAGTTCATAGATCTGTCCATATAACCCTAGGTGGAGTGGCTGAAGACCTCACAGGGAGGGGTCAGTAAGGAGGAATGGAGTGGGATCCCACTTAACGAAGAAGTCTGGCCAGGCACAGTGGCTCACACCTGTAATCCCAGCACTTTGGGAGGCTGAGGCAGGCAGATATTTGAAGTGGGGAGTTCAAGATCAGCCTGATCAACATGGAGAAATCCTGTCTTTACTAAAAGTACAAAATCAGCTGGGCATGGTGGCACATGCCTGTAATCCCAGCTGCTTGGAGGCTGAGGCAGGAGAGTCACTTGAACCCAGGAGGCAGATGTTATGGTGAGCCAAGATTGTGCCATTGCACTCCAGCCTGGACAATGAGAGCATAACTCCATCTCAAAAACAAAAAAAGTCTGGGCATGATCTGGCAAAGCAGCTGTCCTGCATCATGTTACATATATTTAGCATAAATAGATAAGTCCCAAATTTTCCAAACTGATCCTTCCTCATCAGGATTGTTTTCACTCTCTAAAATAGGCAGGCTAAAATGACTGAGTTTACTGAACTGCAGAGATGGTGGCTGCCCCACCCCTGAGGAGCTTTGTCCCAGAGAGATCAGAGCTCTCTGTATAATCCTGGCTGGAGTGGATCAAGTTCCCACAGAGAGTCTCCACCAAGTGAAAAGGAATAGATTGGGGCCCTGCTTAAAGAAGCAGCCTGGCCACAACCTGGCAAAGTAGCTATTCCTCATTGTGAGGGATCCTTCCTCCTCCTTTGGATTTGTACTCTCCAAAGCTAGCAGGTTGGAATGACTGAGTCAACTGAACCACAGAGATGGCAGCCATCTCTCCCGCCAAGAACTTTATTCCACCTCAGGCTGACTTCAGCCTGTTGCAGTTGGCTGGCTAGAATTACAAGCCAATGGGTCTTCGCTTGTATGGTGCCATGGAAGTGGGGCCTACAGAATGACACTGCTTGGCTCTCTTAATTTACCACTCTTTTTAGGTGTATGCACAAATGGATCTCACACCTTGCTGGGGATACTAAGGCTGGAGTATGTAAAACTCCTGAGTCTCTGTGTGCCTGAGCAGCTGCTCTGCCAAGACTCCACACAGCTTTGTGTATCAGACCCAAGTCCCTGGTAGCATGGGCTCAACAGAGGATCCCCTTATTGGTGGGTTGCAGTGATCTATGGGAGAAGTGTGATTTCCTGAGCAGGGTTGCATAATCATTCACCATTTACCTTGGCTGGGAGTGGGTTTTGCTTTCTGGCTGTGTGCCACTCCTTGGTGGGCTGTTTCCCCACCCTGCTTTTCTTCATTCTCTATGGGTCTAGTTGTTTGCCTAGTCAATCCCAATGTGAGAACCTGGATATTTTCGTTGAAAGTGCTGAACTCATTCGCCACTTTCATTCCTCTTTGTGAATGCCATGGACCACAGCTGCTTCTAATCAGCCATCTGGGCCCCTCTCATACCACCTATTGATCTTTGGTTGGGAAAAATAGTTGTGTGAATTTGTTCATTGGAGAATCTTTAGCACCCTAGGATAAGGATTAATTGCCTATAGTGCACCACATTCATTGTAATAGCCAAAAATGTTTTTACGTATTTCCACATACTTCAAGCAGGGTACTTAATTCTCACTCTATTTGAGGATGATAGTACCATAAAAACGTACCACTATGTGTGGTTCTTAAAATAGAGTGTTTGATTTTATATATTTCCAATTTTTAAAGTTAGATATATTTAAATCATCTGAAATATTTTATTATTTATTTTGCGATTTTGTTGAAGTATAACATAAAGACTCTACTCCCAGAATTAAGTTTTAAAGAGAATAATTTGATGAATTTTCACCCATACATTATACTCATCTAATCGCTATCCAGGTTAAGATTTTAAACATTTCTAGTACTTTATAAATATTCACGCTCTTTTCAATCAGCCTCCTCTCAGAGGTAACTACTACTCTAACTTCTATCACCATAGTTTGGTTTTGTCTGTTTTTGAAGTCCATGAAAAAGGAATTATAGTTGGTGCTATTCTATGCATACCTTTCACTCAACAGTGTTTTTCAAATTTATCCATGTTGATACATTTTTCTACAGTTCATTTCCTTTGATTGTTGTTAGTTATTTCATTTTATCACACTTGGTTTAACCATTCAGCCACTGAAGTACACTTGTTTCCATTTTTTGTGTGTTATGAATAAAGCTGCAACAAACATCCTTGTACGTGTCTTTGACATATAAATATAGTTGTTCCTCAGTATCCACAGGAGATTGGTTTCAGGACGTCTCATAGTTACCAAAATCTGCTGATGCTCAGGTTGCTTACATAAAATGCCATAGTATTTGCATATAACCCATTCACACCCTCTTACATACTTTAAATCATCTCTAGATTACATAGAATATGAATACACTATAAATGCTATGTAAACAATTTTTGTATTGTTTTTATTTGTATTATTTTTCTTATATTGTTAATTTTTAAAATATCTTTAATCCAGGTGGTTGAATGCATGAATGTGGAACCATGGATAGGGAAGGCTGACTCTGTGTGTGTGTGTGTGTGTGTGTGTGTGCGCGCGTGTGTGTGTGTGTGTGTTTGTGTGTTTGTGTGTGTGTGTGTGTGTGTGTAAATAAAACTTTAATACACACTGACACATATACATACACAAATTCATTTATCTTGGGTATAGGAGTAGAAATAAAATTGCTGGGATCATAAGACAGGCATATATTTAGTGTAAATAGATAATACCAAAATTTTCCAAACTGATTGTATAAATCTACACTCCCACCATGATCTTCTGTTCATCAAAATCCACCATAAAAGAAGTAAAAAGGAAAGCCACAAACTGGTAAAAAAATATTCAACCAAAGACTAATATCTAAAATATATAAATAATTAATACCAAAAAAAGACAAAAAAGACAAGACTATAATACCAAAAAAAAAAAAAAAAGACAAACAACCCAAGTTTTTTAATGAACAAAAGTCTTGAATTTCAGAAGAGGGTATCCAAATGGCCAATAAGCTCATGAAAAGGTGCTCAATATCATTAGTAATCAAAGGGATACAAAATAAAATCACAATAAAATACCACTACACATGATACACTTTGAAAGAATAGACTAATGCAACATACCAACTAGAAGAATTAAAAACATTTGGCAATATCAAATATTTTTAAATAATTCAAAAATTAGGCTTCCTAAAAAGATTTTTATTTACTTGTTATTAGTCAGCACTTCTGCACCAGTATTATGAAGTAGGCATTATTTCTTCTACTTTACAGAAGAAGAAACAGGTTGAGAATGTCTGATCTGCAAAGTGATTTTCTATGAAGTGATAGAGATGAGACTTAAACTCAGAAATTCTGACCACAGATCCTTTTTTTCACCTCAGTCTACCCTTTGGCACAGATAGAATAAATGCTTTCAGGTTCATATTGCTTTTGAAAATCATTGGCATATCTTTTGCAAGATTAGCAAAACGTGGCACTATTGTGGCAACAAGCTCCATACCAGACTAAAACAGTTCAAGAAGTGAGAATATCTAAATTTCCACTTATTTATGAGATTAGAATATGCAGATAATGTTACAAGCAGTCTGATCTCACTTCTCCAAGGGTGTTATCAGTGTCACCTATGAAAATTCTTGCAACTTGGTAAGCATGGTTAATTATCAGCAGAGCCCTGGCAGAAATGTGTTTCACATCTGATTGCAGCATCATATCAATGGAAGGGCACAAGCCTTGAAATCAGATGAAATGAGTTTGAGATCTGGCATTGCCACTTGTTAGTTGATTAAGTGCAAACTTAGGCAAGGTACTTAATCTCTGTGCTTTATTTTCTTTATAAAACAATATACCTATCTCATGCTTTTGGAAATTTAGATAAAAGCCAGATTATTGAGATAATTATCCAGAGAATATTATATGACAAATGGATACCTGAGCTTCAAGGGTAGGTAACTAATAATTTCATTGAAGTAGTTATTATTGTTGGTTTTAATCTTCTCTATTAACCTTAGATAATAAAGTCTTATCTTTCACTTTTGCTTTCAGTTCCACTTGTCCTACACAGACAAGGAGCGCTATGAAAATGAAGAGAGACCTGAGGTCCAGAAGCAGATGCTTGTTGATATGGCCAAAAAGCTACCAGTTTACACAAGAACTGGAAGTGGAGGTCAGTTCATCCAAAGTCAGCTAGAGAGGCAGTTCAGCAAGTATCTCAGAAAGGCTAAGTCACATATGTTTTCAAACTAGCCCTTTGTTTTCCCCTCTCATCTTCTGAAAACCACTATGGAGATTTTTCTCAACATTTTATTTTTAAAAAATGTTAAACACATCAAATCTGGAAGAATTGTATAGTAAATACCTGAAGAACCAAGTTTCTTCTGATTTGTCATCCCAATATGTCTAATAAGGATAATTATATTTCACATTTCAAGGATTTAGAAAGTTTACTGTCAGATACTTATATTCATTGGTTCATAATTTATTCAGAAAATATTTATTAAGATGTATGGCAATTGGGGAAATTTTAAAACTGGATTCTACTGCTAACATTTTACTATGTTGCTTCATCACATATCTGTCCACATATGCATACATCTATTTATCTTCCCTCAAGGCATCTTATTTTTCTGATACATTTCAAAGTAAATAGCTGATATCAGTAAGACACCTACCTAAATATTTTATTCTGTTTTGGTAAAATTTACATATAAAACATGCATAATCTTAAGTGTACAATTCCATGTGTTTTAAAAAATGTACATATCCATGTAACTAAACCCCTATTAAAACTACCATCACCCCAGAAAGTTCTGTCGTGCCTCATTTACAGTCAATCCCACCTCACTTCACTCCCCATAGACAACCACTATTCTGATAGCTTTTCACTATAAATTAGTTTTGCCTGCTCTCAAATTTTATATAATTGAGATCATAGAGTATATACTTTTGGGCCTGGCTTCTTTTATTCAACATAATGTTTATAAGATTCATCCATCTTTTTGTGTATTTTTTTTATTGCTGAGTAGCATTACATTGTATGAATATATCACAGTTTATCCATTCAGTAATTGATACATATTTGGGTTGTTTCTAGTGTTTAGTTATTTTGAGTCAATCTGTTATATTATTGTATAAGTATCTGTGCAAAGACATATCTTCTTTTTTCTTGGGTAAATATCCAATACAGAATTTTACTCTTAGGTTTAATATGCATTACTAAAACAGTAAGTACTCGTTGAACCAATCCTCCACCTTTTAAATTTTGAAAACCTACAGAGATATAGGGAATGTGTTAAAAAGTTTGAAAACCAAGGTTCTTCTGACGTGTCATCCTAAAGTTTCTAATAAGGATAATTATGTTTCACATTTCAAGGTTTTAGAAAGTTTACTGTCAGACACTTATATTCATTTGTTCATCATTTATTCAGCAAATATTTATTAAGATATAAGGCAGTTGGGAAAACTTTAATATGTTCTTGGTATTATATTATATTAAGGACTTGCTGTTAATTTTATTAGAGCAATAACATAGTGGTTATGATTTTTTAAAGTTTTCATGCATATGGAAATATTTATGGTTTGAAGTGACACAGTGTTTGGGATTTGTTTAAAATGCTCAAGTAAAAAGCCAGTAGAAGAGATAGGTGAAACAAAAATGACACAATGTTAATAATTGTTGAATCTGGGTAATAGCACATGGGGTTCATTATACTATTACCTCTACTTTTAGCATATGTTTCAAAACTTCAATAATACTAATTTTTTTTAAGTGACCACTATTTCTGGGACACTGTTCTTAGCCTTGAAAATGTAGAGGTGAACAGGTAGCCAAGGTCCCTATAGGGTTTAAATTCTGATGAGAAGGAAACAGATGATAGGAAATTATGTAATCTCAGGCAGTCATAAACAAAATGATGTGATAGAGCTGAGGTTACAAAGTAGAGGTATATGGGATGACTTGGGCTCAGAAATATATTTTGTTTGATCTCCGATGTGTCTTTTAAAACTTTACATTTCTTGCTAGTTTTTTACATTTAGGATATTTCTACATAAAAATCTAGATTTTTTGCTTTTCTTGATAACTGAGATGATATTTCTTGATAAATGAGATGTGCCACATGGCACAAATTAGCTGGAACTGAGTAGCCGCATACTTCTTCAGAGAGAGCATGAATTCTCAGGTTTCATGCAATCCCCAACCAGCTGCCTCCTTTACTACTCACTATTCCCTGGAACCTTGAGGTATTCGCAGTTCCCAGGATAGGCAGGAATAGGAAAGTCTTCTCTGAGGAAATACCATTTGAAGGCTTAAATGATAAGGATTTAGTCATATGTTTTAGTCAGAGTTCTCCAGATAAATAGAGCCAATAGAATTGTTTATCTATCTATCTGGAAGGTGAGAAGTCCCATGGTCCACCATCTGCAAGATGGAGAATCAAAAAACCTGGTAACGTAGTTATAGTCTGAGTTAAATGGTTTGAGAACAAGTAGTGCTGATGGTATAAGCCCCAGTCTAAGGGCAGAAAAGTGATGTCCCATCTCATGCAGTCAGGCAAAAAAAAGTAAATTTTCTCATCCTCCACATTTTAGTTCTGTTTAGGTCCTCAAAGGATTGTATGAGGCCCACCTGCATTGGGGAGGACAGTCTGCTTTGCACAGTCTAGATTCAAAAGCTAATCTCACCCAGAAACACCTTCACAGAGACACTTAGAAATAATATTTAACCAAATATCTAGGTACCCTATGACCCAGTCAAGTTGACACACAAAATTAACTGTCACAAGTTGAGCCCTTGTCAACTTGGCACCCATACACATCTCCTTAAACCATACTCTCCACCTAAAGGCAATAACAAGATCACAATTTTACCTAACATGATGCAACTCTCATACATTCAACTGAAAGCACACTAATCCCTTCCATGGAAGAAATGATAAAATTCTTGAGTAAGTTTACTTTTCTCCTTGATATTTTTTGACTTAAAAACTATTTAAATACTCTGATATAAAATAAACAATACTTAAATATTATGATGTAAGTCAATACATCTTATGTTACATGATAAGGTAATATGAAAAGGAAGAAAACAAAGATATTTGAGATACAAGCACACACAACTCTATTCATAACAAAATAAGAAAACACTCATAACAATAACAGATATTGGTTCTGTAACTGGTCACATGGTCATAGCTGGTATATATAGCTACTTTCTCCCATCATCCATTCTGTAACCCCTTTGCCTTTAGCAAGCACTTCAGCTAGTACTGGTTTTTTGCCTGATATGGTGACCCAAATCTTCAGTTCTGAAGAGTCTGTGCCATTAGTAGTCCTGCCTGAATTGGGCTGTTGTGGTTTTCCATTGACCTAATCAGGAGGCATAGTAATACGAAGAAATGCCCTAAGGCATCTCCTGTATTCTTGACAAACTCTTTCTTTCCTCCATTCCTGAGTAGCAATAGTCCAATTTACATTCAATAGTCTAATAGTCTATACACCAGTTTACATACCCATTTCCACCCCTTGATTTCCACTCAGGACTCAAGGGGTAGAAACAGAAGTGGCACCACTCACCATTACCCTTAGTTAACCACTAGCAAAATTGAACTATTAAGTCCAATTTACGCTTAATAGTCTGGATCAGTTATCCCAGCCAACACTGCACCTGCCTTCTTGTCCTATTGATTCAGAGACATGAAGATTCCAAAGCGGCTGGGTGGCAGTCTTAACTTCCAGTTCAATGGAATCATTGTGTCCCCTGGTGGAAGCATTCCTCCCTCTGGGACTAACACCTCTAGGCTAGCAGAGAGTAAGGTTGCAGGAAAAGAAAGAAAACCTTTCGTTAGTGGGTCACATAGGGTAATGGTGAGTGGTACCACTCCCATTTCCACCCCTTGATTTCTGGACTTGTGAATACTATCTGAGAATCAGCATTATCTATTGTACACTGATTGTGAGCATATACAGCTTTTGGGAAAATCTTTTCCCAGCCCTGCAAGATATTGACCCCTAACTGGCACTATAAGCGACCCTTCAAAAGACTACGTCGCCATTCTCTCAAGCCAGCTGATTCAGGATGCAGAGGAACGTGGTAATCCAGTAAATTCCCACAAGCATGGGCCTATTGCAGGACTTTTCTTGCTGTGAAGGGAGTTCCTTGATCAGCAGTAATGCTGTGTGGAATATCATGATGGTGGATAAAGCATTTTGTAAGTCCATGGATGGTACTTTTGGCAGAAGCATAACATGCAGGGAAGGCAAATCTGTATCCAAAGTGTCTATTTCAGTAAAGACAAAACACTGCCTCTTCCAAGATAGAAGCACTCAAATGTAATCAACTTGACATCAGGTAGATGGCTCATCACCCCATAGAATGGTGCTATATCAGGTGCTCAGTGTTGGTCTCTACTGCTGACGGATTAGGCACTCGGCAATGGCAGTAGCCAGGACAGCCTTGGTGAATGAAAGTCCATATTGCTGAGCCCGTTTAACCTCTATCCCTGCCACCATGGCCACTTTGTTCATGAGCTCATTGGGCAGTAACTGGGGTGGGTGGGGAAAGAGGCTGACTGGTAATCATAGGACAGGCCATTCTGTCTGTTTGATTGTTAAAATGGTTCTCTGCTGTTGTGCTATTTTCTGAATGTTTGTGTGCCCCTAAAATTTATATATTGAAATCCTATCTCCAAGGAGATGATATTAGGAGGTAAGATCTTTGGGGAGGTGGTTAAGTCATAAGGGTAGAAGCATCATGAATGGGACTAGTGCCCTTATAATAAGGCTCCAGAGAGCTGCTTTGCCCCTTTCACCATGAGAGGGCACAGTAACAAGGCACTATCTATGAAAGAGGCCCTCACCAGCACTAAATCTGTTGGTACCTTGATCCTGAAACTCCGCCTCCAGAACCGTGAGAATAAATTTGCTGTTTAGAAGCTACCCAGTCTATGCTATTTTGTTAGAGCAGCCCCAATGGAGTAAGACATGTGATCAACCGTGACCGAGCATTCACATAAGACACAAATATCTTCACACTTTTTTCCCATTCAGAGAGGCCTTTCCACACACTTCTTTCCAAATTTCCTTGTTACAGGGTTCTCTTTACAAATTTATTTCTCATAGTATTAGTGAAAGGTACATTTTTCTAGACCATCCCAGTGTGAATGAGTA